AGTTCAGTAGTTTTTGAACTGCCATGGGCCCATCTTGTGAAATCCTGGGATTTGTAATGTCTACTTTTAAATACTAATTCTGTGGTAACTAAGGGGGGAAGCAGACCAGGGTGTCCAGGACACCCTGGGACGTTGCGCCGCGGCATCCGCACCGCAGCGCACCGGCAGCGTCCCTGAAATGAGCACTAAATTGGTGCTCCTTTCAGAAGTCAGGGAAAGTGCACCCTAAATGCGTAGGGCGCACTTTCCCTGACCTTTCCACCGCAGCGTGTGTGGACGCTGCGGCGGGAGGTTGCCCCTGGAGCATCGGCCGTGCGGTGGGCTGGCAGCTCCGATGGCAACCTCGGGAGGAGGAAGGGGCGCCACGCGTGTGGCTGCCCCTCCTCTTCCCTGCCTCGGAGACGACTTTATTAGTCGTCTGCCGAGGCCCTAAGTTACTTTTGAGTTGGTAACAAAGTTACTTTTGAGTAGTATCCTGTTTAGAGCCTGAGGGGAGGGGGAGCCTGTTAAAGCAAAACAATAAACCCCATTTATTTCATGATAGTTATAAAATGAGTGAGAATTCAACACAATGTCTTCTGGTTTAAATACCTTTTTCTTTCTTTTCCTGTTTTTATTGGGATAAAGCATTCAAACACTCTGGAACAACCTATATAGGGCATAGAATATAATGGGGCCATCAAACAGCATGTCAAACATAAGACTTACAAGCAGGAGGAGAGCTGCCAGGGCTCTGATGGTAACCCTTTCTCATTTCTCCATTCTGGAGATCCTTTTTCAAATTTGCCTGAAATATGGCAGGTGTGGTAATGTGTGGTTGATGATGATGATGTTGTTGCCTTCCAGTCATTTTAGCTTGTGTCATGGGGTTTTCTTGGCAGAATTTGTCCAGAGAGGGGTTGACCTTCCTCTGAGCCTGAGAGTGTGTCATTTGCCCAGGGTGACCCAGTGGGTTTTCATGGCTGGACAGGGATTTGCACCCTGGTCTCCCAGTGTCCTAGTCCAACATTTCAAAACACCATACCACACTGGCTCCCTGGTAATAATAGTATGCATTAAAATGTTTGTGCCATTTCATTGGAAAACTCTAACATTACTGGAAGTAGAAGCCTGATTATGATACAGGACAATGGATAAGAATGAACATTATAAAGATAAATGATTCTGTTATGAAAATAAATGAAAAGAAATTGAATGAATGAGGAAGCAAATGAAACTTTAAATAATGAAAAGAAATGGATGGTTAGATGGGGAAATAACTGCATATTCCTAGAATAAAAACTAGATCTATGCTATACCTCCTAGTGTTCCCGAGTGCATCCACATGAAAACATTTCTGTGGTGGATTTTTTGCCTTTTGTCTGATATTATGATGAGTTAAAACTTGTTTTTCTGTTTTAAAAAACTGGAGGGGATTTTCTCACTAACTGCACGAGCTAGTATATAATTTGATTTCTACTTTTGATTTTGATTTCTAGGCAGTTGTAAATACAGGCAAAAGTTAGATTGCAATACAAATGAGTTTGTGTGTGTATGTGTGTGTGTTTTACATTTGATGGAATTATTTTCAAAAATAAGTAGCAGTATCAAATGGCTAAACTGTGGAGTTTGGGAGGGATGTTGAGAGGAAAGAATGCTTTTAACATATAATAGACCTCTGGCAACTTTTATTTCCTGACACAGAATTTGTAGATAGGGAACATGTTTGGGAGGTCTGTTATGTAACAGCAGCCATCCGAATGACAATTTCTGCCTACATAGGTTCAGAAAATCACACACTGTGTGTAGCTTTTCACTCTGAGGGAAGCAATATGATAATAGTTCTAAGCTAGCAGGCTCTTATATTGAGGACTCCTGTAGCTGAAGTGGCAAATGGAGGCAGTTTTTTTTTCCTTGAGCTTGGCTTTGCATGCTTCATGAATTTAATTTTCAATAAATGCTTTGGGAAAAGAAAGGGCAGCACATTAAAAAAAATAAAGACTACTCAACAGTTTGTATGAAACTGTAAGTATAGCTGTGCTGAGCACATTTTTAATCTCTTGAATGAAGGTTTTTCTCTCTCAAATAAGAATTAACCAAAGGTAAAACTGAAATAGTATTTCTGCAACTGTTTGCATCTCTTTTGGTTGTACTGTAATTAGGTTGCAAATGGTAACCAAGGTTAAGACTTTCGTGGCAGGCAAAGAGGTGGCACTTCACTCCTTAGCAGAGATTCCACTCTGGGAGCAGCGAATCTACACTTTATATGCTCTAAATTTAATGGGAGCTCTTTCATTGCTGGACGCAGATGGAAAAATCAAGAGTGGATTTGCTATCCCAATTACAGTAGATCCACCAACTGCCCTTTTGCTGCAGGGTGAATTTTCCCTTCTTAAATGGGATGACTATGGGTTAATCATGTTTTCCATTTAGTTTTCCATTCTCTGGGGGCCAAAAGATCAGGCCTCCCCTGGCCTCATGTCCTCTAGTTTGTACAATACTGACCAAAATCCCTGGGGCAAGATTGGGTCCAATGTTGCCTGTGCAGACACAGATCCAGAGGATCCGATCTGACCATCAAATAAAATACCCCAAGTTTTACATGGAGTTTCTAAGAAACCAGGTTGTTCAGACAATGCTTCCAGCATCACCACCCACGTTCCTTACCTTGCCAGCTATCAATCCAACTGAGAAGCCCCCTGGTCTTGTGGGTGCAGCCAGGTGCCCCATTTCCATATCAGAAAAGGCAATTAGGACACTTCTCAGTTGGATGAATGACCAGCAAGTTCAGGAGCAGCGCACTGGTCCCGGTTCCAAGATCAGTAAAGGAATGGGTGTGTAAACACCTACCTATCCCCATGCCAACACAGGGACCAACTCAAACAAGCACTGGGGCCAGGAAAGCAAGGGCTCAGGCTTTTCTGGCCCATCTGCTCAGGCCCTGAATCGAGATTATCTGCTGGCTTTGCATTTTGTTTAAGAAGCTAGTTAATTTGAAAAGCACAATTAGTGGCATTTGGGTGGAACAGACTGGCAGGAAAAAGCTGCTTGAACCTGCTTTTTCTGAAAGAGGTTCAAAACCCACTGACTGCGTGGGCCTCTCCCAAGGCCTGAATGTTTGTGTCAAGCCACGCCACTGCATTTATTTATTTTTTTTGTCATCTCCCCACTACCCATCTACACCATCGCACAAACACACCACCAGCGACTGCTTGCTGTCTAGATCCCATGCCATTGGATCCCCCCCCCCTTTGAATGGTCACACAGTCACACCTGTGATCCTCCACCGGTAAAGATCATTGGGGCATTGATGTGCCCAGTAAAACACTGACAAAGCACAATCATGGAGATCACACACACACATGCCTCCTTCACTCCTTTCACTTCATTCCCCTTCTTGGACTATCTGGTTTGTGTATGTTGTAATTAAATCCATTGGAGGTATCACACTTTCACTTTTTTGCATTGCCACTCCAACTGCTTGGGTATGGCAGCTCTGTCCTTTTTTAATGCACACCTTCGCCAGTACATTTATATGCAGTTTTAGGGTTAGGGTTAGGATAGATCGCTTCTTTGGAACCATTCTCGCATTGGGGTGTTCATATGCAGGGTCAAATGTATGTATTTTCCAAGTTAAGTCAGGATGTTCTTTTTGCTCCAGTTTTTTGCTCCAGAGCACTGCTTAGGTGCAGTTTTTCCCCAGTTTGGAAGCATGCATCATCTAGACACCTCACTTCCAAAGTGGTTTGAAACCGCTTTATTTGGCCTGTGTGTTTCACTCCACTGTCAACATAGCTCTTAATGGCAAAGGCTAGAGGAGAGAATTCTTTCTCTGAAGGAAGTTGTTATGAGGATGGAGTACATCATAATGGCCTGCTGAAGCATGCTAATCTCATAACCATGGTTAAAAGAACAGCTCCATTATGCGGAGACCCAAACAGACAAAGGCATTTATATTCTTCATCAAATAAGTGTTTTCCTTGCATGGAAAGCAAATGGGGCTTTGTGGCAATTGTGGTATAGTGACATGCCATAATTACTCTGTGTTAACTCTAGCCATGAGTATATTGTAAACTACACTCTGACTGGGGGAAGTAGAAAGAACCCTGATCCTACCCTCTAATTTCACATTGCTCACTTGGAAGGGAACATCATTGTGTTGCCACTGCTTGTAACTTACCATATGATTACATTGCCCACATTTGGCATGAGACTAAGGAGAGTCATGTGGTATTTGGATGCTGTAAAACACTGTTGGAACATGTCTCATTCATTCACTACTTTCTCAAATCAGAATCTATTTTGCTTTTATTAGAAGAGCTATTTACAGGACAATATGTATTTTTCTTTTCTTTTTCTTTTTTTTAAAGGTAAAAGTAATCCCTTGACATGACTGTCTAGTCATAACCAACTGTAGCAGGCAGTGCTCATCTCCATTTCTAAGCCAAAGAACCAGTGTTGTCAAAGGACTGCTCTGGTGGTCATGTGGCCAGCATGACTTCACTGAATGCTGTTACGTTCCCACTGAAAAGTGGTACCTGTCTATCTATTTGCATGTTTTTGAACTGCTAGGTTGGCAGAAGCTGGGACTAGTGACAGGAGCCCAGCCCATCATGCAGCGCTCAGGCCTCCAACTGCCAACCTTCCAATCTTCTGATCATCAGAATTGGTGTTTTAACCACTAAGCCACCGCATCCTGCACTTTTCCTTAATGTGGCTAATATTGCATTACATTATTCCATTGTATTTGTGTATATTCTGAACACTTTTACAAGAAGATTAACACGTTTGCCTTTTCTTTGTTGGAAATTGTCCTCAGGTTAGCTAAAGCAGTACACTAAATGCATATACAATCACCCATTCTTGTAGTTATTGCTAAAGCCATGAGATTACATGCATTATGTTGTTGTTGTCTGCCTTCAAGTTGCTTTCAACTTATAGTGACCCCAGGGTGAATATAACACAGGGTTTTCTGGGGCTAAGAGTATGTGACTCACCCAAGGTCACCCAGTGGGTTTCCATGGTTGAGCAGGAAATTGAACCCTGATCTCCAGAGTTGTAGTCCATTGCTCAAACCACTACACCACACTGACTCTCATATACATTGTACATATACCTCCATACCTTTTACTGGACCACAGAGATTTTTAGTCAATAAAGTAGTCTGAGTAGTAGGGCTGACCCTGACATTGTTAAGTGTTAAGAGATTTTCAGAGCAGCAACTGACTCTACCATGTAAATGCCAGGATAGTGAGACTGCATGTAATGTTGTATCAACTTGGTAATAACAAGGGACCTTGAGAGAAATGTGAAGAAATTAAGTCACAAACTTGTTCAGAAACTGAATTCTGACATTTAAATTACATGGACTGGGAAGGAATCACCCACACAGTGTTGATTTTTAAAAAGTGAGGTAAAAGAAACAACTTACCAATACATTAGGGCAGAAACTTTCATGAACTATGAAATTTATTTATTTATTTATTTATATACCACCTTTCTGCCAAAGTGGGATTCAGTTCACCTTTGTCAGAGTGGAAGAGCTACAATAAAATGAGGATCAGAGTCCTTCCACTTCTGGTGTGGATATGCACTGACATTATGGATGTGGCCATACTCTCTAAAGCAGTGATTCCCAAACTCTGGCCTTCTAGGTATTTTGGACTTCAGCTCCCATAATCCCAGACCATTGGCCAAGATGGCTGAGGCTTCTGGGACCTGAAGTCCAAAAATCTGGGGGACCAGAGTTTGGGAATCACTTCTCTAAAGGAGTGACTCCTCAAAGTGCCAGCTGAGTCTCTCATACTGGCTTCATCCACCACTCCATCCCAGTCAGGATGGGTAGAGCAGACAAAAGGACTTGCCCATGTCAGAACAAGTTTTGTTCTGGCTTTTCCCACCATTCTAATTGGAGCCATGAGTGACCCGAGAAAGTAGTTTGGCCATTGCTTATAGCACCTCCATAACTGGCCAACTGAACAATTGCTTCACTTGACACTAGTCATCCCAATTGGGAGCATAATTTTAATACCTGGTGAGCCATCAGATAAATGCTAGGGCAAGCAAACTAGTTTCAGTACAACATCACCAGTGACAGTTGCATGTTGGTGTCTCAAGGATGTTTTGTAGACATTTCTGGCCCTACACAAAGTGTATGAAAGGAGTCCTAATCTGCAGAAAGAAAGCAGACTACAAGAGTCTATAAGCTGTGCAGGAGTAAAGCATTATAAAAAGGCATGGGAGACTTTTTCATTCCTTCCCCAATCTTGAATCCCAAGCTCATTATTCTCTTGCTTAAACTCTCTTAGATTGTCTTGGGGATGTAGAATCCTTGCTGTCTTTGTTTTCCAACTCACTAATCTTGGTGTAATTAGAAAGACTGTGGCACTCGTCCAGAGTGACATGGTTGAGTGCAAAATTGCAGCCCTTTGGTAGGAATGAAGTCCAAATTAACATTCCTTGCTGGAGCAGCAAAGAAATAATAAACTGACTATGTGTAAGTAGTAATTACTGTATATACTCATGTACAAGTCTAAAAAATTTAGTTTAAAAATTGACCCCAAAAAACTGAGTCGACTTATCCATGGGTCAATGTAAGTACTGTACTTTAATTCTTATATAAAACAAGGAACCATCCCCTGGTTAAAGGCAAGAGTATAATCTGTCCTAAAGGCATTGATTCCTTCTACTCTCTCATCCATCCAAACTTTAGTATGAGAACAAACATTTATGCCTGATGGAATTCTGTAAGTTCCGTGGCATTGTTTTCCCTTTGCTTCATCCTTTATGTCATTTCTTACATGTCCCTAAATTTTACCCTCGACTTATCCATGGGTCATACAAAAATCCATAATTTTGTCTCCCAAACCTGCTCTCAACTTATACATGAGGTCAGCTTACAGTTGAATATATACAAAATATGTTCACTTCCAGAATTATGGCATCAGTATTTATATGATTGTAAACTAACTTTATTTCTTTCTTTGGGCCTCTGCAGACCGGCACTCTGGCCGCCCCAACCCCATGCCAATACCATCCTGAAGCTGTGCGCCATTAGGCATGGTGCACAGTGTCAGGACATCCTCCCGGCACAGCGTTCTCACACACTGCACCAAAAAGGAGAAGTAAGAGCCGCACACAGCTCTTAGGGCGTCCTTTTGCCGCCCCTAAAAGGAGCGCCATGGGGTTACCGTGGTCCTGATCCACCGCTTCCCGGAGTGGCCCAGAGCCACCTGTCTGCAGAGGCCCTTTCTTTCTTTCTTTCTTTCCTTCCTTCTCTCTCTTTCTCTTTCTACACACACACACACACACACACACACACACACACACATATGCTTTTCCCATCTAGGCACCAATGAATTTGTGCAGCATGATTCCCTGTGATTTTTGTTTTCTCAGTGCTCTGTTTTGCTCATTTAGCTTGTTAGACATATAAGTCTCAGCTGACCTCTGTGATTTGCCCTTGAGAAAAACAACAACATTCTCCTCCAGTTTACTGCAACTACAACTACAGGATATGGGGAGAAGAAATTATTGAAGGGGGAAAGGAGTGTGTATTAAGAAGGATAAGAATTAAGCAGAAGGAGGCGCCCTGCTAACGAAAAGCACACTTGCACTGAAATTACATCAAGTGCATCAGCACAATCTCAAGCTGGCAAACCACCCATATGAGGAAGGTTACTATCGAGTGTTAACCTTTTAAAGAGAATTCTCTTTACAGACCCCCATTGTTTTAGAATGACTGGATAAATGCCTGCGAATGAAAATTTCCAGCAGAAACTGCTGCCTTCCAATGGTACAAACTGAGATAGTACAGATTATTTTAAGGCACCATTTATTAGCACAGTAGTGAATTTTTGTGACTTTTGTCTTCTTTGGATTTCAGTTGTTTATGTCTTGAAAGCTTTAGAATGGAAAGATTAATTTAAGCAAGTGACTTTGTGTCACTGTGCCTGTCCATTCTCAACCTTAGTGGTTTCAAAGGAGATTGAATACAATCAGCCCTCTATATTCATGATTTTTCCCCCATGGATTCAACCATCAACAGCTTGAAAATATTCAAAAAATCTATACTCGTGATAGTGAACATATGACACACATGCCAGAGATGGCACGTGAAGCCATTTTCCGTAGCATGTTCCTGTTCGTCCTCCTTCCTAACCTTCCCTGGCCTTCAGTTGCCTCTCCGGTGCACCTGTTCCTCTTCTTTTCCTCTCACTCCCTCCCCCCGGGCCTTCAGCTATCTTGGGAGAGGCAGCTGAAGGCCCAGGTGGGCTGGGGAGAGAGGTCCCACCCCAGAAGTCCTACCTTCAGAGGGCGGACATCCTGCCCCCAGCACCCTATAACACCCAGTGCCAGAAAGCCTTTTAGTTTGGGCACTTGGCCCAAAGGATTGCCATCACTGATCTATACATTTCAAAAAGCAAGCCTTGATTTTGCCATTTTATAAAAGGGACATCATTTTGCTATGTCATTGTATTTAATGGAACTTGAGCATTCCCAGATTTGGATATCTATGGTGTGTGTGTGTGTGTGTGTGTGTGTGTGTGTGTGTGTGTGTGCGCTGGAAACAAACCCCAGCAGAACCCAAGGTATTACTCTTTAACATGACTTCACTATCTTGGGGTTTTCTTATGCTGGACTCCCATCAAATTTTGATACAGATTAGACGTTAAAATTGAATTTTTTAATCATGTTTTTGTACTTATCTGCAATATAGATATGTCTGCGAGAGGGCTTTACAACCATTTCAACACATCTCATACATTGGCGAGGGGGCTGATTCACACTCTCATAATTAATTAATATGTGGATCAAAACATAGCTATCCACTGGCATACTTATTGGCTCAAAAAGATAGCAAAATGTGTTTAAAATGTATTTGTGGGGAAAGATTTTTAAAAGGTTTGATTACATACTTAGGAATTTTAATGTATTTTTTAAATCAAATTGATACAAAAAGAAGATGCAACAGTTTATTAGCAAATCTTGTTGCTTCTTCAGCTAGATTGTTGAATGGTTAATGAATATTTATATTGATCCATTTGAGTCAGTAGGTCTACTATAGCTGAAACTAGCAATTGTAATTCATCATTTGTCCTTCTCTGCACCAAAGTAGAGACTTTACAGGACAGATTTATTTTCCTTTATTTAAGAAATGTAAAAAGCACCCATCAGCCTAAGTTTCCAGGGTTCTATTTAGAGAAAGTAATGAAATAATGTACCGGTATGTGTTGATCTGTGCCAAACAAAACAGAGGAACATAAAACAGTAGTTTAAAGAAACTGTTCAGCATGCTGTTATGTGTGTGGAATTTACATGCCTCCCCCCAAAAAGTTTTCAGAGTGGATGCCAAGTAAATGTCTCTGGAGGAGCACTCTGAATGTGAGGTACCATTACCAGGAAAGTCCTGTCTCTAGTCGCTGCCTGCCTAATCGCAAATGGTGGTGAAGACCATAAGGTTTCATCAGGATTATATAGTAGAGGTTTGACACACACAAACACAAAGCCTGTTTTTTGCAGCTAGCATCAACCTGGGGAAAAACTGTTAGGGCAGTAACTACCATGATTGTGCAGTGTCTGCATTCATTCCTAGTTCAAAGCATCTTAGAGGACTTACTTATGGAGTATAAAAATATGATGTGTGGTTTAAATAATAGGTGAGGCTGGTGAGATCTGTGAATCTGTATCATCTACTTTGTGTTCAAGCATGCTATTTTCAGATAGAAATGACCAGTAATGACTTCATACTTTCTCAGTTTAAATAAGAACTAGAAAGATGGGGAAAAATTAAAGAGCACAGCTAGTAGGTGTAAGTAATCTCATATGCAGTTATGCTGACAACTGCATTTTTCAGTATAAAGCTGTAAGATTTTGTGATTTCCTAAGCAATATTATTGTCTTTGAACATTCTAGGCCAAGATGATGAGGTCACTTCTCAAATCTCATCTTTTAAAAGAAACCTTTGCCATTATTGATCTTCTACTTTATATGCTGATACAACCTAGCAATACAACCTGGCAACATAACCTAGTAATAACCAATAAGGTCACATTGACTTGCATGCTCAAACAGCCACAAAGTCTTTGCCTGC